TCACACCAGTCCACAGCAATAGCAGATTGCCATACTCTATCAGTTAATTCTTGTGGCAGATGTCTGTGTGGTGGATCTAAAGGTTCCAGCCTAGCAGATGACTCAGATTTCAGCATGCTGGGGCTTCATTTCAGCTGTATGTTTTGCTTTGAATCAATGAAAACTTTCATGCAGAATAGTATTAGAAGTATGTAAAGGCTGCAACATCAAGCACCTCAAAGTCAGGAATGGAAACAGAAAGGTTGCCTATGCAGAAATCATTGAAGACTCTGGTATATGTGTACATGACAAAGGAGATGATAATTTATGAGCACACCCCAGGTGGGTGGGTTTTTGTTTTCTTTTCTTTTTGGTCAGGTCTCCATTGTGACTCAGGTCACAATGTGAATAGTGTCTAACATAGGAATCATCCACATGTAGGACTCCAGCTTCAATGACAACAGGAGATGGAAAACAGGCAGAATAGAAGAAAGATGGCTGCAAGAAGACAAAGTACAGTGTTGCAATGAGAGTGCCAGGGAGCACTGCATCCCATCTCTGCATTTTCATTTGAGGGGTCAAATCACTTGAAACAGATTCTTCCCAAGCAGTCAGTCACTGCCTGTTCCTTGTCTTCTAAGTCCTAAGAACTCCAAATGACAGAAGTAGTCTATCCCAATCTTCCTTGGAGAAGGAAGGAGCAGAAATGAGAGAGTGAACTTTTCAAGCTTTGGTGAATGACATGAAACAAATCTGATCCCAACCATCTTAAATTATCTATCTCAAATAAGTAGGTACTTCTGATCATAACTGTCTCTGCCTCTGTTTCCTATCTGTACAAGGATAACGTATTTGCCTCACACAGGGGTCCCCCCAAAATAATTAATGCTTCTGAAATACTCCCAGGGTATAGCAATGAGCAAAACAAAAAAGCCCATGATGAGATTAACAATTCCATCCTCAGAGCAGGATCTGAATAGTGCACAGTAAATACAGAACAGGGCTGCACAATGAATACTGAAGCTAAAACAAAACACTGAATAGCTGCTTATTATGTGAAAGTTTTCCATTTGGAGAACTCAGTGTGGCAGGGGTCTAGCTGAGACAATTACATGAGCCCCTATGATTAAAGACCGTATCACAATGCACGTACTCAAGGGGACTGAGCTGACACTGAACATGCTACCTAAGTTCACTCATTAAATCTGTTTTAAAGAGTGCATTTGCTTGTCAGGAAAAGTGGTGGATGGCCACACGAAACCTGTCCGACAATCAAACAGTTCTACTGCTCTCTCTGTCTCTGAGGCTTCATGTTATCCCCGAGATAAGGGCTGTTTATGGCCATATATATCTTGAGCTTGCAAGTCCTGAGCACTTGACCCCAGTCCAAAACATTTAAGCACCTGCTTAACCGTAAGCACAGAAGGAACACTCCTGAATTCAATCAGATTGTTCACGTGTTTAAATCTAGCTGTACATACACGCTTTATTAGATTCCTTACCTAGACACTCGTCTCCAAACAGCTCTCTACATGAAGTGTGTTATCATGCCCAAGCAGAACTTCCTGGCCCCACAATTCAGCTGTTGGAACAGCTCATATCAACATCCTTTGATGTAGTTCGGACAAAAGTCAACTGAGTTGGTTTAAACAATACAGTCATGTTCTGAGCTAATTCCGCTAACCTGCTCCAGCATGGACAGAGGAACCATCTACACGTATCATCTGCTGGAGAGGTGGGAAGGCAGTGATGTCTGGCATATGGGCAGGGAAAGGTACTTAATAACAGAAATATCTTCAGCCAAAAACACATGATCTAGAAGAGCAAGTCTGTCACTTCAGTCTCATCTGCAAGACTGACACCACTAGAAACAGCTGAGAATATCCCATCACTTCACACAGGCCAACACAATGACAGTGACTTACCATCAGGATTGATTGTTTCAAACTCAGTGCCATGGAGAACTAAAGCTTCCTATCGTTCTCTGATTTCTTGACCCATCTACTCCCTCCTAAAGATGATATGGTCATTATGGAATTTGAAACACTTTAAAAATAAAATAAGCACACTTTGTAAAACCCAGAAGAACAGAGAACCGCAGGTGCTTTGGTTTATCTTTATACAGTGGCTACAGTAGTCTTACACTTAGTCTTGGACCACTAAGTGCTGGAATGACTGTAGCTATGGCATTGTGTGTGCGCCTCATACCCACTTCACTTATTTCTGTGTCAGTGATCCTCCCCCCTCCAGAATGGAATTTTTTTGAAGGAAACAACTTATCTTCCACACTGCAGCAGCAGAAAAAAAATCCTCCGATACAGCAATATTTAATATGTGGTTTTATGCTCTTATGGCAGCTAATTTTCCTTAAATGATTTAAGGGAATGAATACATCTAAAAGGCCTGCACTGAGCCATTCTGCAATAGCAACATGAAGCTGAACTTCCTCTGCTTTAAACAATCCAGTCTCTTGTGGGCAGCTCCTCACAGCAGATCTTGTCTAGAATGGGAGGGATGAAGGTTACTTTTTATTACGGTATTTTGCAGGGAACCTTACTTTGCATTTTATTTCATTTCATATTCCCCAGTGTGGGAAGACTTCGGGTGAGGAGAGGGTGGCAGAACAGACATGTTCAAATGCATAATCCCTGATCTGTCACAGTTTGACAACAGCCCCCCCGCAACTGGTTCACCTATGCATGCAGCCGACCATCTATCATGTGTTCTTCATCTAAAAGTTACACTCTGCACTTGGACAGTACTTAAAATCCTCACCAGCCGGAAGTGGTTCAAAGACAGTTTTTATTCTGACACTGTCAGGAGGGGAGGGGTGGTTTTTTTTATCTCAAGTATTTAATAAAACCAGTAGTGACTGATGCTAAAGCAGGATGGCATGCGTACAGTCCCATGCTTGCTTTCTGAGGCAGGTGGAGTGTTTTCCCCTTTTGTCCCAGCACTTTGGATATGGTCTGTTCATACAAATATTACTTGGATCAGAGGGACTAAGAATCTGGTTTTGCCTGAAAAAAACAATAATCCCTTATACCTGCATTGTATTGCAGAGGGTCTCTAAAACTGGCAGAAAGGCTAGTATTGACTATGGGATGATAAAACCAGACAAGAAGATTGTTTGGTGAGTAGCTAATTCACTGAGAAATGAAACTCTGAAGAGCCACCTGAACTTTGCTTGTAGTTTAATCCAAAAAAAGATTCCTAATAGTGTTTAAAAAAAATTAAATAACCCTGAAAATGAAATGTTGCATTTGTGTTTGAAAGGCTCCTTTTTCTTTCCGTCAGAAAGAAATGGACTGGAACTGGTTCACCTCAGGTTGATCATTGGGGAGGGGTGGGAAACAGAGAGATGAAGGAGAAAAAAAGATTTCCATTTCAGACCAACTCTGACCAAACTTTTCTTTTGATTTTTCATTTTAGCCACCACAGCAAATAAATTCATTCTTCACACATAGGGCAGCTGGACACTACCAGTTTTTCAAAGCTTTCCAGAAATGGGACAAAGGTGAAAAGACTTTTCCCCCCCCCAAGAATAGCTTTATTTTACTGACAGTGACTTTTAATAGTGCCAGGATTTGTTGCTTTACTAGCTACAAGCATTCCCCTACACCCAACTTTCTTGTAATGTTAAAGGACCTCTTTATTCTTGGAAAAAAACTTTCTTCTCGGACAAACCAGCCTGTATACTCTCTCCATCATCTAGAAGGAAAATTGTCTTGCTATTTGGGGTAGGAAACAGGAAAGACCAGGCTGGCTGTAAAGCTCCTTTCTTTACTTTCCATCGTCATCACTCTAATACAGCAGGGCTTAGGAGCCTTGGGCACAGGCACAATGCTAGGTGCTGCACAAACAGAATAGAAAGACAAATTCTGTGCCAAACAATTAGCAGTCTAAGAAAACATTTTCCATGCAATTGGATTCCACTCCCTGTGTAAGGACCTTATCTATTAACCTATCTTCCTTGTATCTAAAACCCCTTCTCTACAGGTATTACTACTAGCTGGAAGATAAAAATTCTAATTAAGATGTACTGGGAGAACCAGGAGTTAAATTAAAGAAGCTCTTATCCTATACATGATGTAGCCAGGGGTAAGAATCCTCTTTTTTTATTAGCAAGGCAAACCAGGTCCTTTTTCACAGTAACAGAAGAAAAAAAAAATTAGCAAAACTTCAGGGAATTAAAGATCCAAATAACATCTCCATAATGGGAAGTAAAAAGAAAGGACAAATACCAGGAATTCCATACAGAAAAAATAATCTATAAAATCTCCTCTTAGTTTTTTGGTAGTGATTTTTTCCTACTCATCTCCATCTTTGTTCAGCAGTTTTTCTTAGGTGCCACGTTCAATAATCCTTCTGTGCTTTGATGTCAAACATTCAATAGCTGTCTGCCTCCCTCCCACTCCTCCATATTCTCTGCAATCTATCTCCTCTGATTAGCTAAGATTTCACCTTCAAGAACACCTCTGCTTCTTTGAGTAAGCATGAGTGTGTGCGTGTGTGTTTATATAATATTTGCAAATATTATCCCCCTCCTGCTCTGCACACTACATAGCAACCCGTGCCGGAGCTCTGGATTAAACATCAATGCCATTCAGTAATTCAATTTGGGGGGCCTGCTGTTTTGAATCCAGCTCAGGACATCACGAGAGCAGCTCGATTGAATTTAGGCCCTGCTTTCAGAATTATTCCATATTTAATCTGAGCTGAACTTCATTTCACTTGCTCTCTGCACTCTGATGCTTCCTGTGACAAAAGACACAAATGTTCCCTGATCTCATGCAGTGGGGGTGGTGTTTGCTTACTTCTCTTTTATTTTAGTTTGCCACTGGATTAAGCCACATCAGAGTTACTAGCATCTTGCACAACCCCGCAGCAGGAGAGAGTCGGTACATCAGCAAGTGGCTGTTCTGGCATCACCTTTGCCCACTCACCGGATTGTTGTACATCTCAATGATGAGCTGTTTCACTCCATGCAGCGTGGGATGAGCCCAAGGAGATGGATTTCCCCAGTGCCGGTTTAAATCAAACCCCATCAGGGAGCACCTGCACACACAAAAAAACAACACACACAAAGAACATATGTGGGCTGCAGCCTCTTCTGGCTTCAGCTGCAGAATTAGGGATATATTCTGCATCTTATGTATTTAAACAAGTTATTCTCATGGAAAAAACAAAGCAAATGCCCCTCCGAGGACAAAGAAAGCCTGCAGCAATGGCCACTTTTAGAAATAATATGAACAGCAGAGTATCGACCGGAACATCTTTGGTCATTCAGACTTCTTCCTCTCCACAACACATACACTCACGCTACCCTTTGCCTTTTGCCAGCTTGCCATGCTGGCACTGGAAGATCCTGCTTGGCCTTTGGGGTTCCCTTCTCTTCAGTGCTCTAGCTGGGGGTCTATAGCTATGAGGATGATTCATAAACTGCATCACCAGGCCTTTACGTTGCCCTCAGTCAGGCCTTGACTAAGCAAGCTGTTAAAAGCATTGAAATCAACGGCCATTAAGTATGCGCTTAAAGGATTTAAAGCATGAATGTAACTGTTCCACCAACCTAGGGTCTCAGTCTCTTCCCCTCCTGCAATTGCCTACACAAGTTAGCCAAACAAGACACTAAGTTAAAATGCTTATTGGCCATCAGATCTTGTGACATTGAAGCATGTATGCCACCTTGGCTTCTCCTTCCTGCCCTGACTCATATCCCTCTCAGTACGTTGTCATGAGTTTGATTCTGCTGCTCCCAGTCCTGTGCAGTAATATCCCATTCTTTGTGAAGTCCCATTGAAACTCAATGGGCTATTGGCAGAGTGAACACAGAAGAAATTAAACAGCTGGAAGTGGCACAAGTAGGAAGGGGAAATCATGTCCCTTGCCTACTGCAGAGATCATCTAGACAATCTGTGGTCACTGATGCAAGCAGAGAGAGAAGTCCCTTCTGTCTTCTCAAGCTGAGCTTGGGACCAGTGGACCTTGGGGAGATCTTGCTCAGGAATTCTATGAAAGACCACACAAATAAAAAATGCCCAGGCAGAGATGCAACTTCCTCTATATTTAAAACAAACAAACAAAAACTCAACCTCACTGCTAAGCGTTAAAGCTTCTTGAGAAAAGAAGAGCTTTCCTTGATCCCTGGTCTATTATGAGAATGTCTGTTCAGCCTTAATCTTTTAAACACACCTATGCAAACAATAGAGATTTACTCCAGTAGCGCTATACCTCGACAAAAATTTTAAGAATCTGATGACTGAAAAACAGAAGTTTAATTGGCAAAAAGAAAGGAAAGTGCCTCACTTCTCTAACAGCTGAAGCAAATGATTGAATACTTCAAACCTAAATAAAAACTTAAGACAGAGAGGTGAAATGCTAAGAAAAGTGAGGAGATGAAACTGGAGGATTAAATTAATTTCCAAAAATGATGAATAAATATTTTCCTATGAACCAAAACTTACAAAGTTAACGGGACATTCTTCTGTAAAAATTCTTATGGGAAGCTAAGTAGGTAGGAGCTGCCTTGTTCCTTGACCTTAGACAACCCAACCATCAGGCTGTCTGGGAGTTCAAACACCCAGCTGCCAGCTCTGCAACTCTATCACTGCTGCCTTGGTGTACAGACGAGCTGGATGGCTTGCTGTGGTGGAGAAAGCTACCTCCTTGTCTTGGTGGTCACTTGTCTGCTTGTCTAGAGAACAGATGGATTTCTTCTCTGGATACTCCAACAGCTACAATTCCACAACAACTCTGAAAGTTGTCTCCATCCAACTACAAAGCAAAACACGTTCTATAAGATTTCTCTCTCTCTTTTTTTGTCTTCATGTAAACTCTCTCCACTCAGTTCTACTGAATCCTATCTTCTTTTGAATCCACAGACATTAATATAAAATCAGAAGTACTTCCAGAGACATAGGTGGAATTACACTGGGATAAAACTGGTATAAGAGCAAAATGATGGGAATGAGTTTTTGATTTAATGCAGAAACTGTGGTGATCATCATGAGCCTTACTGTATTTTGGCACAGTTCCCAAGAAAACAGCATGCTCACTCTACAGGATAACTTTCTTAAGAGGTCAGTACCTGAAATCATATCCCCTTATATGGTTAATGTGTCCCATTTACATTTTGGTTTAAGAATATTTAAAACTAATAATACTACAGAAAACAAGTATATTTTGCTTCCATTATATTCATCTCCAAAGCACATTGAAGTGGCCAAGCTACAGAGCACCAAAAGCAAATTTTAAATTCAAACATGTGTTGTCAATATTAAATTTGGGGTTTGGGACTTTTTAGATAACTATGTAAGTCATCCCTATAGGGAACAGAAGTAAGGAATATCAAATTTATGTAAGATACTAAAGCATTGTGATTTGCAATGTTTGAATTTGCCATGAATTTCTGGTTCGTGATGAATCTCATAGTTCATTTCAAGCAACAAGAACAGTTGAAAATAGTTGTCTTTACTTGAAAAAACTTTATGAACAGAAGGAATCAATGCTTGACAAACAAGTTATTCATTTGGGAAGCTCCTCTGAGCTCTATTTAATAGGAACCCAAATTAATTTCCAAATATCATTTAGATAGCCTTTGATGTGGTATATCACATCTTTATCAATGTAACAACAATTAATTAAATTTCTGATGTAGGCATTACTAGTTCTTTCCAGTCTGGGAACAGTGTAAAATTTTCTTTTTTCCCCATGTTTTTAAGTCTTTTTTCTTTCCTTTTTGCCTAAAGACAAATTTGTATCTACCACATTCTCTCTTTATTCATCTGTTGAAAACTTGTCTCTCTAAGGAAACATCAAGTTGTGTTCCTTGGTACTTCAGATTTGATTATTGACTCTATTACATGTAGAACTGTCTCCCAAAGCTCACGTATATCAGGACATGACCAAAACATACGGTAAGAGTGTCCCACATGCCTATTACAGATCCTGCATTCATTATATTCTCTTGCTCCCAGCTGACGTGATCTCCCTTGTGGCTAATACCTCCAATGCAAGAACTTGAACAGGATAACTTAAAAATTGCATCTTGCACTGCTTTTTAATTCCCTCTACCAATCTTAAACCAGATCATTTCTAGTACATGTTGCTTGCTGCTTCCATTGCTTAACTGTTTACCTTCTGCTTCAAGCACTGGGTAGGCAAAGTAGAATCATAGGTACACTCTGGAAACAGCAGCTCTACAGTGGGAAACAACTGTGTTCCAATATAATACAAGATCTTTCAATATTTAAAAACCGCTCTCTTACTCAGACTGCAAGTGCTGTCATTGGCTTCAGCATGGTTTCTCATGTGACCCAGATTTAGAAAGGGCCATCAAATCTGTCCTATACAGATGAGGTTTATTTTGTGCACTAAATAAACTAACGTGTTCAGTACAAAATCAACAACGGGAAAAACCCCTATATTATATCAAAGGACTGTTTAAGGATGATCTTTGAAAGGGGATATGGAAGAGAGCAAAACAGGAGACATTACAGACTCCAAGAGGTGCAAGGGAAGACAAAAGTAGCTTCAAAATTAGTGAGGGTTGGAGCAGGTGAACATTTCCAGAATAAGGTCACTGGAGAATATCCCATTCCATGAAGTTTAATGGCCATGGCCATGAATGCTCTTATAAATGTGGCAGGTAATATTGACAAGGAATCAGATAAGAATGACACGCTGGCACAGCCTCTCATAGGTTAGAAAAAGTATAATCAGAAGTAGGTGAGCTTTCTACAGCAAGCAAAGTAGCAAACTGCTACTATTACCCGATTGTGGTCTTTATTCATACGGTGAAGACCTGGGTTGTGTGTCACATAGTCATTGCTGCCACAAAAAATGACATGTATGTAGTGTAAAATATTTAAGCCGTTAACAATTGTTTGAATTTTGGATTATGCTTCTTAGGGTTTGCTAACTATACAGACCACATACTATGTTTCTGCTTTGTGATTGAATGTGCGTTTAAATCAGGTTCTGTGATTATACTTGTTGAATTAGAATTTGCGTTTCACAAATGTTCTCCAGCCTTTTTCTAAAATTTCTGTTTTCTATAAGTAGATAAATTTATTACAGTGTTTATAAATTTACATAAACACAGTGCAAATTCAGTCAAAGCAAATGAGTTTCAAAATTGAAATGGAAACTGAAACATTTTGCAGCATTCATCCCTCCCTACTTGGGAGACAGCCAGATCTCAAGAGGTTACCAGCTCAACTCAGTAAAACCAAAGATGTTCAGACCAGCATTCAGCTTCCTGGGCAATTATCTGGACAGAACCTCCTTGCCTCTGGGGGCTTAACTCATCACTGGTTTTAAGGATTTCTCATGCAGCTGCTTTAATGAAAACAACCTTGTCCCTTTCTAGAACTGAGGAAGGTTTAGTACCAGGGCCTATGCTGAGTTTATTTTTAGGGCTGCTTCCTGTTCTTTCAAGTTGTGGCTCTTCTTTCTGGAACCTCCAAGTTACAGAAACCTCCAGGAACTCTGCCTTTCTTTCACTTCAGTTCTCCCTCCCCTGTTCGTTTTTCCTACTATGTGAGTCTAAGTCTCTCACTAACAGACCCATTTCCACAAGGTGAGATATGGAGAATAATGGAGGAAAGGAGTTAAAGAAATCCTTTTTCATGGCATATGATTTATTACAAAGAGAACTCTACACTTTTCCCTTCAGCTTTGTAAGGTCGTGTTGGTTCATTGGATCAGTACCAGGTGAATCTCCAGATAATACTGCACACAAAGCCAGGGAGTTCAAATCCACAAATGGCACTACCAACAGGGTTAGGATTTGAAATTGAAAAGGTAGTGGGGGGAGGGGGTGCACTCCCTTTTTTTTTTTCTTCAGGCTTATTGCAATAAGAGTGGAGACAGAGGGTAATTGGTCTCTATTGTTGCACTTCTTCGAAGCAAGAGTTATAGCAAGAAACTGCTGTGAGACTGCAGCCTGCAATATCATGCAGGAAGAGCAGGTGTGCAGTATGAGAGAGTGAATACAACGGGAACACATGGAAGACTTGCTTCTTTTAATAAATATATCATTTTAAACCTGTTAT